CTTCTCACAAGCCAAGTAATCTCACATTCAATGATGTTGAGGTCTGGATTCTGGGGTGGCCAGTTCTTTGTTCTAAGAACACAGTAGCTTCTTTGATTTGCATTTTCTGGTCAACTTCTTGACAGCTGCACATTCTTTCAGACTTATAGTGTTGAGTTGTCTCCTCATGGTGGAAGGATGGACAGAAACACTTGTGGATTTTTAAGTATATGAAGCAAGACTGGAGCTTGATTTTCTTCTCTCTCACACAGATGAAATGAACAATACTACTAATAAATTCTACTTAATGTAAGTAATGTATCAAAAGTACATCTACAAGATATTTACTTAAATGTATTCAGGTGCTTCACTACTGCAACTTCACTGATATGTTGTTGATGTGTTACTGATAATCTGTTAAGACTCTATTACTCATCTACAGGTGTTCTAGTCCAATAGTAGTAGTAGTCCAATTTTATCTGAATCTTTTAATATTTTTTGGAAGCGTTTGGGAAACTCCTGTTTCTTTTTGCTTATTTTCCTTTGACTTCCCTCTACTTTGCGCAATACAATTATCTTATATCTTATAAGTACCGCATGTCCAGGCCAAGAACCATTTAAGAACCTTTATTTTTTAGAGTAAACTTCAGTGACACTTTATTTTGAATGGTCCTTTTAAATGAAACAAACACTCAACAGACTCTCAGTAACATGTCAAAAACATGAGGGTCAGGATTAGGTTTCGGGTTGAGGTTAGGATTAGGACCAGGGTTAGGGTTAGGTTTTGGGTAAAGTTGGGTAAGGTTAGATCTTTGGTAATGGCAGTAACAAATTAACATTACTACTAAAAAATCTACTTAATGTAAGTAATGTATCAAAAGTACATCTACAAGATATTTACTACAATGTATTCAGATGCTTCACTACTGCTACTTCACTAATAAGTTGTTGATGTGTTACTGATAATCTGTTAAGGACCACTCCAAATAAAGTATTACCTAAACTAGAAGCTGTGTAAGTGGGTATGTCCCCCTATACTGTTAATTATATCTCTAAACTCACCCAAGTGAACTGGTTCTTCTACACAATTGGTGCACATCTGGCAGGAAGGTGGAGGCCTATTCATATTCTCTGTGTGTTTGCTCATTGAAGTGCCTAACACTAACTGCAGCTCAGTACTCACTTACCCACAGTTGATGACCCCTTGAATAAAGGTCACAGTTGATGATACCTTCACTCTGCTTGACACCTGACACTGGAGGTAATGAGCTGCAAACAAGCAGAATAGTAAGTTTATTTACCAGGAGAGCAGAGACCTGGGTGAAGCTAAAGGGCCACTTCTCCATAAGGACAGTTGTGCGAGGTGATTATACAGCAAGCAGCCTCTGACTGACAGGTAAAATTGAATTTTGAAGCAAGTCTCCATGTAGTGTCAGGGTAAGTTCTTAGTAACCATACATGAGGTTTGCTTTTTGATACCTGGGTAGTGAGAGAGTCCTATAAATCTATAAAAACCATATGGAAGAAAAGTTACAACTATGAAATAATACCTGTACTGTGCCAGAATGGTATTCAGTCTATGGGTGTTCAAAGAATGTTATTTGTATGAGATTCTATGGCACTATGGCACTATGGCAAATAGGCTGCATTTCAGAAACACTAGAATTGCATAGACATCATACAAAATACAAGCACAGAGCTGGCTTTACCTAATAAGCAACAAATGGGTCTGCTTAACTCTTCAATGTCCTCATCAAGAAAAAAGCAATGGAATTTGTTTGTATTTTTTATTTGTTTGGGGCAATAATAAAAGCAATTGGTGTTTTTTTTGTTTTTGTTTTTTTGACCCCACAACTTTTAAAATATTCATGTCCACCAAACGGTCAAGATGGCACTTTGTGGCATATATAGTGACTCAAAATGTGCTCTACCAAATGGTTGAGCAGGACATTAAAGGGTTAAGACCTTGCCTGTTGTTGAAGATGCTCGAGTGAGGGAGAAAAAAGGAAAAAAAGAAATAAGGAGAAAAAACTTAAAGCTGTTATGTTTGACATTTTACATATTAATATAGCAGCAAACAACTATTCTATCTGTACAAACATATTGGAGTAATTGCGTCCTGAGCAGAGAATGAAGTCACGCCCCCTCTGTGTGTACTGTAATCTGAGCTTCTCTGTTTTTTGTTTTCATAGCTGGAACGGCCGCGTGTGCATGTTAGTCCCACCCTGTGAACATGTCGGCCCACCCTATGTTTTGTTTTGCCCTCCCCAGTGACCGCCCACACAGCGTGCGTTCACAATTTAAGGTGGAACGAGAAAATTTGAACAAGAAGCTGACTTAAGCTTCAGTGAGAGTTCAAATGCATGAAAAGGGATGAGGAGGGTGCTCCTGCTGGACAGGCAGGTAACATTAACTCATTTTAGTTGTTTCACAGAATCAATAGGTCAGTATTGTTTTGTCTTCTTTGTGAATGTTTATGATAGCAACTGATTAGCTTCACTAACACTAACAACTGTCCATAGCAACAGTTTGCTAACTCACTACCGAGCTGACGTTAGCTACAATACTTGCTGTGTCGTTGTTCACTCTAAGGTTATATCATGGTATTTGTGTGTAAGGTTTGAAAAGGGTTTTATGGCCACAAAGATCTAAAAAGGTGTGTTGGCCTTGACGATGTGTGTCCACGAATTTGTGGGGTGGAGTTTCTGACAGATCACTAAACGGAAGGGTGTGTTTGTTTTTGCTGTTGAGTTCAAACATCAACAGTCGTTCTCCAGAATTGTACAGTGCTTCTTTAAAGATAAGGGTTTGTTTTGGTTTTATTTTGCTGTTAAATGCCATTTAAGTACTACAGTTGGCTCTGCATATGCAAGTAAGAAATTGATGTGCAGCTGTCACACAATGTTTATAAATGCACATGAAAATACAGAAACAATGTTAACTAATATGTTCTATGTTAGCACAATATAGGTAATGTAAGTCATGCACTATGACAAAAATTCTGTGAATTTCTAAGGCATCATTGGCCAGAAAGGTTTGGCCTCATATCAGTACAGTCTCGGAAATAGCAACACAAGCTTCACAAAGAGCATTCAGAAGGCCCATTAGTAGTCATGGTAATGAGCCACGCTCACTGTTCTCATTGAGCAACATTTGTGCAATGCCTTATAATAGCTGAGAGGAAAAGATGAGAGGATCTTACATGAAGGTTCTACAGTTCAGAGCTTTCATTAGAGCATAGCCATGTCCATTAGAGAGGGGCTTCAGGAATGACTAAAAGCTTCTGCATCTTTAATCAGCCTCACGGGAACAAACATCTTATTCTGAGACAGTCTGATGTTTCCTATTTCTAGAAATGCACCAAGCCTTTAACAGAACTGAGCTTGGACGCATTTAGAGCATCATTGTTATTTTAAGCGCGGCCTGTCCAGACCAAAGCCTGCTGCAAGAACGGGGTCTAGCAGAGGATCACCTTGCAGTGTCTAAATTAGGAAAATGGGAAGACATCTCTCTTCCTCCTTAGTTTTCTCTCATGCTTTTAGAGCAGCGTGAGAATGTTTAGCAATGCTTAATAGACAACAAATAAATAAAAATTTCCATGGATAGAGTTTATGCCTTGAAAGGCCAAGATTAAATGAGTATGAAATTAAAGGAAAAAGGCCAAATTATCAGAAATGCCATGGTTATGGTCTGTGCATGTGGTGTTTATGGCTGATAAAGGAAGATTAGTAGCGCTTAAAGACCGTTTTATATTCTCCACCGTAGTTTTATGCACTGACGAAAATGGAATATCTTCCTTTTTTAAGCAAGATGACTGTGATAAAATTTCCCTTTATTGATGCCGTTTCCCTCGTTTCACCTTAGAGCTCATTGACATCTTACTATATCAAGACAGAATTCTCAGTGTTCAGTGAATTCAGACTATTACAGAACTGTGCAACAGTCAGAGATCACCCTTCCTTTATTTAATTTCAAGTCAAAAAGTTATTCATTTTTCAATGTCAAGAAAAAAGCAGAAAACATGTATTTAACAGAAAATACATAGATTCCTCGAAAAAATACATATAAAATTATATTTATTGCAGTTTCTATACTTTTTTAGGAGGCTTCTGCTAGGATGTTTTTCCACACCTCCAAAGTTCAGTCTTAGTAGTTGGTTGCATTTTCTGCTTCATGTGAACCGAGAAATCCCAAACACATTCAGTGATGCTGATGTCTAGATTTGCAAATGTTTTTCTTTTTGACTTTTTGACAGGTACTTATCCTTTTAGACCCAAAACATTGACTACTCACAGTGGAAGGATGGACAGAAACACCTGTGGACTTTTTTTAGATGCGGAGCAAGAGTGGAGCTTGAATTCCTTTAAATACTGCTTATGTGATGGTGACAGTTTTGGCGGTCTACCAGGTCTTGCATGTTTTTGGAGTTTAATTTTTTTCTATATCCTTTTATATTTTTTGTGGTTGTATTGTTTTTTCACTTATTTTTCCTTAGACTTTCCCCTTCCTTAAGCAAGTGAATTATTTTGTATGTAATATCATCAGAAATATCTCCTGAAAAATGAATAACTGATATTGAATGGCTGTTTAGACTGGAAATCAGACAAATAAAAGGTGGTCTCTAACTTTTGCACAGAACTGTGTATAGTCAAATATAAGAAGGTAGAGGGAAAAGGGGAAGAAGAAATGATGAAGAATTGCAACATATGATATTTTACTTTAAATATGGCATCTTTGTGTTGTGCTGCTTCGAGTCATCAGATTTAATTTGGACCGTTGAAAGGAAGACGATCCTCACAGCCTTACTGAGTCATTCTCTTTAATCCCGACTTCTAGATGCTCCCTCTCGTTTCAACACTGGACTGCATTGTACTACGTATTGTATTGAATGGCACCTAGCAGTAACAGAGGGAGGCTGACTGAATGGCAGGGTACCGTAAAATGGGCAGCCTAAGAGGGCATTGAGTTTCACTGTATAAGAGAAGTTTTTGTCTTGTTTTATTCTAATCTCATTCTTCCAGTCATGCCCCAGCCTCCTGGATTTCCTTCTTTGGGGAGCCAGGCGTTGTGGGAGGAAAAAGAAACCCTCCTCTCTCACCCTCACACAGACTATCTCCCTGTGAACACCCTGAGACCAATGTGAGATGAAAGAAACAGGTATGCTGTTCTGTCTATCCTACATACTGTACAGCAGAATGGATTTCTGAAAGCTAATGTGTGAACAATACTTCTTCATACATGCACAGATACACAAAATTCCAACGAAAGCTGCCTTTTTCTTCTCGGTGTAATTTCCAGACTTCGTGCACAAGCCTACTCTGCGTGCAGTTTGACTCGGATCATTCAGAAGAGAGAGGATTATTTGAAGCTTTTGAGCGCGGTGTGTGGAAATGTGCTGAGAATTCCAATTGGCACTTATCATCTCTCAGGAAGAACACCTGGTGGCACAACCTAAACATACTTTCATGAATGTTTCCGAATGCTTGTCACGTGACTGACATTCTAAACATTGTTTATATGTGCTAAATGCAAGGCGCATTCTAGGAAGCCAAGCTGTACACTGTAACTGCACACAGCACAAGAAGCTGTAAGCACACAGGAAAGTGCACTCATACTATGCAGGTTTGCTCACGTATATACTGGGCTGTTTTGTCTGGGTTTAACTTATACTGATATCATCAATGTTGGAGCAAAACCTTGTATTTCCAAAATGGTAAATTGGTGACACTTTATTTTGACTGGTCCTTTGTACATGAAATCAACACTCAACAGACTCTCAAGTTACATATCAACAACATATCAATGGTGTAGCAGCAGTGAATACGTCCAGTAGATTATTGAGAGACTTTTAATTAACTGCAGAATTTTTTTCATATTCTGCTGAATTCAGTTGTTTTTCACTTTATTTGGAGTGTCTAAGTTTATATCTGTGGATGTTAACCTGGAAGGTCACTGAACACATAACAGGTTTAATACAGACCATCTCAACATCCTCAACAAGTTGTTATAGACACACTTCTGACACCATTTGGTAACTGGAGCTTAACTGGATTAGGTTAAGTTTAGGGTTAGCATTAGGGCCAGAATAAGGGGTAGGATTAGGTTTTAGGGTGAGGTTAAGGTTAGTGTTAGGATTAGGGCCAGAGTGAGGGTTAGGTTTTGCATAAGGTTAGGTGTTGCATAGTAGAATTATCATATAAAGTGTAATTAATTCACATCAATAATACTAATGTAAGTAATGTATCAACAGTATATCTTAATATATTTACCTCAATATATTGAGATGCTTCACTACTGTTACTTCACAGATATGTTGTTGATGTGTTACTGATAAACTGTTAAGTGTTTATTACTCATCTACAAATGATCACTCAAATAAAGTATTACGGTAAATTGTCAGAAGAATAAAAAAATGTACATTGATGTACGGAATGTTTTTGGCCCATTCATCCTCACATTTTCAAATAATACAAATGCCAGTTAGTATTTGTTAATGGTGTAAATAAAGTGCTTAATTAATTTAAGGAAAATAAAAATGGAGTAATCAAGTTTTTTGTCAAAAAGAATAACTATATCTATGCAAAGTCTTAGGCAGTCACATAAACTGTTCAAAACTGTTTATCTCAGCAGTTTTTGCCAGTAAAAATGCTATATAACATTACAATAAATTAAAGCTTAATAATTGTTAACCACAAGCATATAAGCAACATAAAAGAAATGAATGTCATTAATAACTGTTGACATACATACATTTTTAGTAGGGACAAATTCCTGTCCTTGCCCCCACCTCCACCCCCAAATGTCACCTATGTTGCACAACCTTGAAGGTTTCTTCTTCTTTTTATTTATAGTAATTTTTCTTTGTTTCAGTTTTTTTTTCATAATTCTAAAACTTATTCTATTGTTAATGTGTAGGACTAACAGAAAACAAGCCTAGATTTGGCCTAGAAGTGGTCTCAGACTTCTGAACACTATATATACTTTGTATATATACTGATCTTAAGAACAATGTCCACCTCACCCCGACATCAAGACAAAATGATGTTGGTCTGACTACACTTGACTACACAAACATACACACACAGACTTGTGTTATAACTGTTATTACTGTCTTTGTACTTTCGCACAACCAGGAACTGCTAAAATGATCCTCCCCATCTGAGGTGTACTAGATCTCTTCTCCGCCCAGCAGCAGACAACATATCATTTTCCTCTGAAGATGCTCCATGAACACTTTCCATTTTGATCTTCTCTCTGCCTCAGAAAAAGCTGTGGCCCAGGTCAGCGTCCCACTGTGCATATCTATCTGTGATGGGAACACCCTGCTGCGACGGAGACAAACTGTTCCAACAGTTGCTGCTGATGGAAGTACTGTCACTCCAATTATCACACTGCATCTCAGAGCAGCACTGAACTGTGCAGAGAAATGACAGGAATGTGTCATTACTCAATAATAGTTTGTCAAACTATATGAGGTTTTACAGTAGATGCACTTTCAGAAATAGCTGGATATTTGCTTACCAGACACATCTTCACACTGCTGGAGTAGAGAGTCTGGCACATCTCTGATTCAGGTTCACTGGCTATGTAAAGAAGTCGAGCTGCTGCAGCTCCACATAATTTATACCTCATCTGAAACACCTCAGTGCCTGAGGTGGCTTTGATTCACTCTGACTGTGGTGGTGCACTATCACACTCAGCTTCCACTGCAGAGGTTTTGTTCTATAGCCAACAAAATCACTACTGCGTACTAAAACGTTAACAGAACAGTTACAGTAGATCAGAGCTTAACAATCTAAATGTTCACCAATGAGAAACTGCATCCTAATTCTGCAGTAATAATGAAAATCAAGTTGTTTATCAATTCTCTAAGCAGTTTTCCATCCTAAATCCTGGTCTCTCTGCTCTCGATCAGTTCTTTCACTGTGTAATAGGAGAAAATCATAGTGTTATTTGGTCTCCTTTTAGATCTGCTAGAATCCAATCATCTCTCTTTCTCTTTCTGACGCAAGTTTCTCAGCTTCTATAATAAACACCTCATGAGCTGGAGTAGGTGGTTTATTTATTTATTTAGAAACGTTTTTGTTATATTTCTTGAAATAATCTTTGCATCCAAAAATCAAATGCTCTGCCAATAAAAACAAAAAAAAAAAGTCATTTGTGACAATAAAACCCTGTCGTTTCATTAGGACAAAGGAAATGACTGGATGGCTTACATGCATGTCTACCTTCTTATCTCATGACTTGAGTTTTTAGCCTAGCCAGCTAACAGTTTGGGGAGTGGGAGCCAGCAGTGAGTGTGTGCCTGTTCTTTTGTTTTGCTGTGTTCTTTGGTGAGTTTGGAAATCAAGCCGAGCATAGGCCAGACCTGTGACTCATTTGAATTTCTTGATGAAATAGCCCACATTACAGTATTTGTCTGATGCTCAGCTTTGTACGGGACATTTTACAAATGAGGTTATGTAGCTAGTGAGCTTATTTGTGTTTATTTGTAGTTGTGAGAAAGATCCTCCAACTTCCACACCTTTGAAGCATGGATATATGAGTCCACCAAACCATGCTGTTTCCACCATGTTTTCAGAGTCTCTCTCCGACCAGTGAACACTCTGTCATCGTGAATATCAGTCAGGCTGAGCATGTTTTTGGGGCAGTGGCTTTGGAAGCAGGGCTGAAAGTAGGTGGTGGGATTTTTTTGGTTGGATTTTTTCAAAAACTAGCTTACACTTCCTAGTTTCTTCAAAAAAACACCTACTCCAGCTTTAAAGAGGAATTCCATCCATTCAAAATGTCTGCATAATTTAATCATTAAGACCAAGCTTGAATCATCAAGTTTTTGGCCCCTGGGTACAAATGTTTGGTGGGCCTCTACTTCACTACCTTTTTGGATGGTCATAATTTTTTTTTTATGATATCACAGCAGGTTACATGAACCTATGCAGCATTACAGAATGACAGAATACTAACCATGGTATTGGGCTTGTCACTGCTATAAGCGCATTTTTTTTCCAATCGAGACAAAACAATAGCAAGATTACACACACACTGATTAGAACAAAGGTTAACATTAATCCAACAACCAATGCACCATTTCCCTGTAAAGCATGTGTCCATTTTTCACAAGCACGTTTACCCCAATCAAGATGACAGATAAAATCACATGACTGACATGTACAAAATGAAGATAGAAAAACTCAAACTCAAAACTCCAGACTGTTAAGCGTCCTAAGCTAAAGCATACTGCCAAAGTGGGCATGGAATTCTTTTTTTCCTTTCATATCTTACCTCTAATGCATAATTTATGCATAGAAATAGACATTTTGTAGATCACTACCAACAAGCACAATGCAACTTTAACTCAGGTTGTTTAACATTTTGTATTTGGCTTTGGAAAGGGACATCCTTTACTCTGTCAAAACTATAATCTTGACTGAGGTAGTGGAGGATAGTGGAATATTTGCTGAGCAGTGGTTGAAGGAGAGCATCAAGATTATGATTGACACCATGACAAAATTTTGTGCTCTGCTGCTAGTAAAGTTCCCACTGTGAGTCAAAACAGTTGTTTTTGTCATAATTGCCCATGTGGTCTAAAACCTGTACAATACAAGGTGCATACAAGGTATTGCAAGGCACAATAAAACCAAAAACAGGTTTTTGTTGTTTAAATTTACCACTATTTTTCCAGTTTGTTAGCCAACGCAAAACAATTCAACAACTGTGAAGAGTTCTTTCTCTGTGGTCTTTTGAGAATGAAAATCAGGCTGGTAAACAGCCTGGAGAGGTTAAACAATTGATTTGACAGTTGAACAATCCATGCATTCTTTTACAGCAAACACAGAGGTTATACAAGCTTTACAGAACACTGGCCAAAATTCTCTTTAACCAAATGATAAATTGAAGGAATCTTTGTTTTGAGTTACTACATAAAGCTTCCCATTTAAAATGCTAAGCTACTGAGCTTAACTATGTATCTAATTGAAATAAGGTAGATTGGAAACATTAGTTGTGAGTTAATCAAGTTAATTTATCTGAAAAGATCTATATGGTTTGGAGGATGCATACATGCCCTGAATGTTTTTTAATACCTATAAAATCCAAATCTGCTTTTTTTCATAGTCATTACTTAAAAAGTGCTGCTAATCCCAGCACAGCCAGCCAAGTGGCTCATTTGGATGACGAAGGTCTATTTCACAGCCTAAGCCTCCATCCTCCTTCCCCAGCACACTCTGTCAGTCATCACCTGCCCTCTGGTACGGGGATTTAATGTCCTCTCAGTGTCCTCACTTAGCCTTTACATGATGTCTTTCTTTCTTTAGCCCTTGGAGCATTTGGCACCATTCTGAAAAGCTCACCTTACCCGAGAGCAAGCTTAGCTCTGATCTCTCACACTGTCACCAGTCATTTTCACAGAGGCTTAACATTTCATTGGTTTAAGACAGAAGCATGTTTTATTCAGGCTTTAAAGAAGCATGTTTCAAACATGAATGTATGAAATACCAATCTTACAAAGATTAAAAACAACATTTATTGTGTAGCATGCATGAAACTCTGTGGTGGAGCTGGCATTGAAATTCTGGTAGAAATGTCCTGTTACTACATCTAGATTGAGAGCAAAATTTGATATGATTTTCTATATGAAATAGGAACAACATAAACTGTATCCATCATTGTTATTATTATGAAACAAACTGTGATATGTGATATACCATATATATATATGGTGAGTTTGGAAATCAAGCCAAGTGTGTGTGTGTGTGTGTGTTTGTGTGTGTGTATGTGTGGGTGTGTGTGTGTGTGTGAGTGCATTTTTTCGGTGTGTTAAACTCAGCAAATGAGTAGGAATTGTGCTCTAAAATTTAGCAAAAAAAAAAAAAAAGTTTGTTTCCTGTAGAAGGTGTTAACTTTCATTAATTAATTTAATTGGAATCTACTTTTTTAAACCACCAGAGAATCCTAACTATACTCTATCAAGCGAGTAAATCCCTCTTTAGAAGTGCTTGCCAAATGGCTGACGGCAGACAGAGAGCTCTCTCGCCCACCTGAGGTGCTGCAGTATCTTACAGTGGGCTTATTGATAGCGGGGCTGGCTGCTGCACTCAGATCCGCTGGAGGAGACCTGAAAGTGAGTGGAGGAGGATCACTGTTCTCTCAGGGTCAGTGTGCACCTCCAGGAGAGATTGATCTATGATGGAGCTTTAGGGAAGCAGCAGAGAGCACTAAGAGACCACAGACTGCTCCCAAGGCCAGGCTTAATGAAGTGCTGTTTAACAGATAACCTTATCCATCAATTAGACCGCTCTCACTCAGCTACATTAGCAACACTGGAACAAGAGCGGAAAAATACACCAGAGACAAGCACTCAGAGGATAAGCAGAGTTGAGAACAGTGAGTGGCAGGTCGATACCGAAGAACTGGTATGTTCGATCTTGCAGTTTGAGAATCGATTCTTTACGTAAAATATATAAACCACCAACTCTCTGTTTTTTTTTAATAATTTTTACAACC